TATTTTTAGTTAATTTATATCATCTTAAAATTAATTTTTTAAGTGTAATTAATGATAAGACATAAAAATTTAAAATTTTATATAAAAAATTATTTTTTAATTATATATTAAAAAATAAAATTTTAATTAATAAAATAAATAAAATCCCTTTCCAGCTAACTTACAATTTCTCTGAGTATTGTATTTTATGACATTTGAACTGTTAGAGATAGATGCTCTAAACATTTATTCCAAACGCGTACAACTGAGCAAAAGAAAAAAAATATATTCCAAACGCGTACAAAAGAAAAGGTTTAATTTGAATATTCTACGTGGCAGAATCAATTTTCTGGTCTTTGAAATGCGATGATAATGCTTAATTTATTATAATGTTCTACTCTATTGCTCCCATAATATATATATATTTTCTCATTATGTACACTATTGAGAATCTACTTTGAAATGAAAGGAAGAGGAAATAAGTTTGAGCCTTTGTTATTGTGACTCCCAAAATACTTAATGTAATATTTTTTTAATGGAATTGTTTATTATATTTTTATATTATATATATTTTTAAAACTTGTGTAGTTAATTAAAATAAAAAAATGACATTAATAATTAAAAATGTAATAATAACAGTACTTTAAATTTGATTCTCGAATAGATGGGTGGAATAAATAAAACAATGAGGAAGTTGCTAGCAACCCAAAATTTAAAAACAAAAAATTTTGGTTACTATATATTCTGATGAATTTATACTCTTTTTAACACTACCTTCAATTATTGTTGAGTATCAAAGTATCAAAGAAAAGATAATGTTAACGTAGCATATTAGTAGTTATAAAAAAAAATGCACCTTTTAAAAATTAATTTACCTTAAATAATTAATACTACAAAATCACGGGACAAAAATTTAGTCAGAAAAAAGCCAACATATTATTCATACGGTTTTTTTTTTTAATTAAAAGATTAAGTGTTTGGCATCAAAGATGTTAAATCTTTTATTTTAATCTCAAATTAATTAAGATTTTTAAATTAGTAAATACTAATTTAGTCAATCTTTTTTGTAGGTATACAATTTATTTAATTATTAAGTAATAATTACTATTTTTTGTCTTAAAAAAAAGAAATTAACTTTTATTTTAATTATAAATGTCATGTGTTAATTTTTTATTAATTCATTTTAAATTAAAAATCAAAACTTCTCATTTTAATTTAAGATTTTACATTTTTTTAAAAAAAATTACAATCATTATATAATAATTATTCCATATTCTGTCTCTTACATTATAAACATTAATTATAAAGTACTAAGTTGAGTTAGTATTTTATGTAATTTCAATATGGGGAATTTAATTTTGTAGTTGGAAGAAAATGTTTGGATGGTGGGGAATTCAATATGCCTTACTTGACTGTATTTGCGGGCCATTTAGATAACTTATTCAAAGTTGGTTGAATGACAAATTAAGAGGTGTTTTGTCTTTTATGTTTATATCCGTTACATGGCATTTATGCGGGGAATAGAGACAGATTGGTTTTTGATGCAGCAGAGAGCACTTCTGAAGATATATTGGTGGATATCTTCATTCAAACCAAAAATCATTTCTATGGTTGAAGGATAAGTTCCAAGGTTGTGGGGCTAACGATCTAATATAGTTTAGTGAAAAAAAATTCTGAATTCAAATCGCATAACATATAAATAAAATAAATTAAAAAAAAAAAGAAAATTATATTCTACTGTACAACTCAAGATCAAATAAACTTACAAGATTGTGGATTTTCTCTTTTTATGATTATTAGAATTGTAATTTTGTAATGTGTATAAGATTAGTAGACTTTTAAAAGAATTTTAATATGGTATGTAAGTTGGATATGTAAATTGTGGGTAGAAGTACTTTTTGTCTTTAAAATTAATAAAAATTTTCTTGGTTTATTAGAAAAAAAAGGAGAGAGTAGTTTTTAATGTAATTTAAAATTTTTTATTTTGGTTAAGGACCTTGAGCTCTCCACAATAGTAAGTTAAGCTTTCTCTTAAATTTCCAAAGTCAGTCCATATATAACAAGTAGGGAAAAGTAGAGAAAAGCATGTGCGAAGAAACAAAGTAAGAGTCACATCCTTGGCATTAAGTTTTCTCGCTCTTACACATAATAACATACGTAGTCTCATAGTGTATGTGCAGCGCAGATACACCACACTGAACACAGGCCACACAGTGCTTACTACTTATCCACGAAAGCCTTTTTATTTATCAAGTACTAATTAATAGTGGTAATTAGTGTTCCTTCTTTCTTGTAATTTATACTATTGTTCATATGATATCACAGTACTTTGGGGAAATGCTGATTAGAAGGCACATCATCAGGGTCCAGTTTCTCGACACCATCAACGTTCCTCAGCCAGAACGCCCGTTCAAAACGTGCTGCGCTCTCCGGGACATCATTCATCACCCACTCATGTCCTTTCGGGCAGTATATCCCGCTCCGGGGATGCGGAACCCAGCACGACTCATGAACAGTACCACCACCCTTGGATCCTCTCCCTAACTTCTCCCCCAAATCCCCTCCCGCAACTTTGCTCAACCACCTGCGCTCTACACGCTTCGCTTCCCTACGTTAAAGAACAAAAATTTCTCAAGAGATGATCAATCGTCATCATCATACTGAAAATATATACATATAGAAGCAAAGAAAATATCATCACTTGTGCTCATTACCTGAGGAGAAAATTCTTGGTTCGGGCCACCCCGGTTGTTATTGCCATAAGCTTTAGGATATCAATGAAGAAATTAATACAAGGTGTTGGTCCAATTTATATAATGAGATTATTACCTTTTTGAAGAATAATTGTTTGTATGGTGGAGGTTGATCTAAAAAGCAGATATGTACACTTACATGACTAAAAGCGAAAGTGGTCTGAAAAAGCTTCGATTTAGCTGCTTAGGAGAGGGCAGGAATTCTACCAACAAATTCAGCGGTTGAAAAACCATGTTCGCAAACATGACTTGCAGATACCTCAGTATATAAATTAATAGCTAAAATAATTCATCGTGTAATTGATGCTTTGTTTCGTTACCTGAGATTGTTGAGAATATTTGGTATTTCTCTTTAATGAGAATATATTGCTTTCTATAGTGCACATTTTATTAGCACTAATTTCTCAATAAATTTTTACTTGGTACCAATTTGTATCATTTCCAAAATTTGGCAACCAAAAGTTGAAAATTTAAGAATATGTAAAAGTATATAAGCATTCAAAAATAGACTTGGCAGGAAGTTTGATCCAGAAACGCAGTTTTCTTATTATTTTGTTAAATATGAAATGAGCGACACATGTCACACTTCTGGAATATATGCTTCTGTAATTTATTGCTTTGGCTTTTTTTCTTCTTCCTTTGACTGATGGGAGACCATGTACTCTCTGTCATCTCTTTAACCATTATCAAATTCAATAATTTTTTTATTAATATCTTAGCATATGATAATCACATTAAATTTTAATTAATTTAAAATTGAGTCACATTAAATCCTTTAAAGATGAAACTCCTTCAACGTTTCTTTCTCTATCTATAATACTTGAATTTAAAATTTTATTTAAGAGAATTAAACTCTTTCCATTCAAACCAACAACTCGTTGGTAATAAAAATTTATCTCATCTACATATTTTAAGGAACCTCTTATATTTATTAGCAAAATAAATTAATATTAAACTACTTTTTTTTTTTTTTTATGTATTAGAATAAGTAGTTTAGACTTGAAAGAGAAGGGAAAGAGAATAGAGAGCACAAATTTAAATTCTTATCTGTGGGTGTGGAAATTTTTCATATTAATAATAAAGCTATTTTAGCTACCAAGCTCCACATTACCGCAGAATCATTTATTAGATGTCCAGCATTGCATCTGTTTGTAAATCTATTGAAATTGAAGATGATTTTTGAGCTATCTTGCACGTTGTAACCGAATAATTTCCAATAGTGGGAGGTTCTTTTGCTTTTGATGTTACTTATATTATCCCTTCGTGATATGTTCGAAATCATAATTTAAATATAATGATGTGTTTGGTTTGGGCAAAACATCAGGTTAAGTCCCTAAATTGATTATATATTCTCAATTAAGTTCTTAAATTTTTTTTAAAGTAGATAGGTCACTCATGACTAAACCACATGATTTACCTAATTTTACTCTTTTTGATGTCCTTTTTTGTTTATAGTTTTGCAGTTCGCTATTAAAAAAGGGGTAACATTGTATAAATTGTGGGGCTCAAGAACTTATCTATTTTAAAAGAAATTAAGAGATTCAATTAAAAATATGTGATCAATTCAAGGACTTAATGTGAAGTTTTGTGTTTAGTTTGAGGAAAGAGGAGAAAAGGACAAACAATTCTTTTATTTAGTTACTAAAAAAATTTGAGAGAAAAAGGAAGTCCAAAAAAAAAGAAAAAATTTGAGACAATACTTTTATTTAATTTTTTTAACCTAAAAAAAAAAATTGTCATTTAACCTTTTGAATACCAGTAGCCCAAAGGAATTGACAGTGGGCTAGGAAAGTGCACTCCAGGTTTTCTGTCGCTGCGGCCCGCCCACGGGTATTTGTAAAATTTCTCTTTATTCCCAAAAATTCTCCTATATGTATTAAAAAAAAAAAAAAAGAGTTAATGAACCTAATTAATTTAGTGATATTTTTTTT